GCTCATGACGATGAGCTGGGCTGTCACCGCTTGGCCGCCGGTGGGGGGTTTGGGAGGCCGCATCACACACAGACACAGACACCCACGCACTGCCTCAACTTACACGAACACACACACATACGCAGACTCATATACACACGGACATAGATACACGCACAGAAACCCACACACTACCTCAACTCACTCGACTTAACACTTCACACTGCACACTTAACAGATAACTCGCACTCTGACTTCCTACGTGATGAAAAATGCTTTCGGGCCACTCGTCGTCTAGTTTCCTCATGAGAGCCAAGGAACTTCAGGCCTTGATACATTGGATCTTTGTCCCAGCTCCATCCATTTCCGTAGTGATGACAAAGACCCATTGATTTTTGCCAAATGTTTGGCTCCGGTCGCAGGAACAAAGGGAACTCCGGTGGACTGGTGCCCATCTCTCCCTCCGGTGAGGGTTTCAGATCTTTATGGCAGGGCTCAAAAACGCCGCCTGCAACGACGGTGGCAGGCTTGCGGTGTGCGGGTTGCGCTGGGGTTTCTTCCATAACACAACAGCAACGTCGACACATAAGCCAGAACACCCCATCATCAGACAAATGCCGTAACCAAGGGCAGAAGGTACGCCGGGCTAATGCCCTCGCAGGGTGGGGATTGTCCGAAGCAAAGTACTTGTCCAGGAGCCTCAGTGACGCAGCGGTCCAGGCTTGGGATTTATATACCTCGGTGGACCTCGCACGCAGCCAGTTGATCTGAATGGCCACACCAAGGGTTGATGCTCGGCGGCGCTCGGTTTGTGAAGAAGAGGAGGCGAGGTTTGTGTGATTGATGAGGCAACATGGTTTGACTGCACGTTTGATGTGTAAGTGACTGACTTGGGGCCACATGGGCGGCGTGCCACTTTTTGGCGTGCCAAGCAGGTGCGCCTCGGTGAACGGCGCCTTGTCGTTGAAGGCTTGAGGGCCCCCGCTGTGCGCCAGCCATGATGTTCACGGAAACAGCTCGAGCCGGGCGACGTCTAGATGTTGCGCTGGAGAAGTCCGTTTCAATCACATCACCCTAGGGCCATAGGGTGTTGGCATAGCTTGCCTTGGACCAGGGCGCCTCACAAGCGATAACGTCCCAAGGCACTTCGCGCCACAGCCTCGCTATGTACCACGGTGCGGGCCCTCAGAAGCATTTGCTTCGCGTTTCGTGGGACCAGACGTATTTAATCACGTTTATATAGCCTGTTGACAAAGGTGCCTGAAACCCTCCCGAAATTCCACGCATGCAAGTACATGGGGTTCCTTTTGGAAGGAAAGGATTTGCCTCCTCCAGCCCCAAAAGGTTTCAATGTGTTTTTTGGAGGGATTTGATCACCAAAAAGCGACACAGAAACCCACCAATTCATTGAAAGAGCCCACCTGGTCTTCCGTTTTTCTTTAAGACTCCTCAGTGGCCAAGACTTGCAAGTTCACCGCGGAGACCTGACTTCGGTGAGCGCTTGCTGCAGTCAGGACATACAGCAACCAGGGCATCACGGTCGCTCCACCCAGCTATCATCATCCGCCTTTGCCAGTTGCCCAGCCCCTTGGGCCCCATCTGATGCGATCCGCGCGCGGGGCGGACCGGACCGGAGGTGAGTGATGTGTCATTTCTGCCGGTCCATATCCCAAAACACTGCATGGCAGATTTACATACATTGGGGTGACTGAAAAGGGGTCAATGTAGGCATGTATACCATACATGGAGTGTTTGGGTATCACGTGAGGTGGTTTCCGAATCCAGATGGTTTCAGTGCAACTTTGCATGCCAGTGGGTGTTTGGCTCATTGCGCGTCAGCGTGTTTGGATTTCAATCCATTTATTGCCAATAACGCGACCGAACACTAGATCGGTGACCGCGTTCTTTGGGGCCCTCCCCAATTTCCGAAACCCTAAATTCGGTTTATATTTGTTTATAAATTACAGCCCTTTCAAACCGCTACTAAACTACCAACATGGTCGATTTTGGGGGTAGTTTCTTTTATTAGGTTCCACCACGTCGCGTTTACACCAGCAGGTTTTCATTCCCCCAATGGCACGGACTCACGCCACCGAGGTCGTGCAAAACCGCATGGCACAGCGACATCACCTTTCGAAAGCTTTAGTTGTTAGTCTCATGATGAATCAGTATTCTAATAAAGGTTTTTGTAGGGGAAGGGGGAAAAACCTTCGACCTGGTGGTTTTTTGAATGTTTGATATGAGTTTAATAAACGATTTTATACAAAATTTGTTTGGATGACTTTTTGCTTTTGAAGTTCTTTCCAGGTGACCCTATTTTGGACTCCCCCGATTTCAGGGACCCCTCAAAAAAGAAACATGCGACCGAGCTTCTCTTAATAGGGGGGCGGCCGCGTGTTTTTTCGTAGGTGGGACAGGATTCTTCCCAAGAGAGGTTAAGTGACCTGAAAGGACCTTACTGGGGTACCGAACTGGGATAGTCTAGTTCGGGTTCCTCAACCTTTGTTGGTCTACCCCACTCCAAAGAACCCCCGCGCTTCATCCGACGTGGATCTCGGTCCATCCGGTGCCGTCGTTGGTCGGTGGGATCCGAGAGCAGACGGACCGGACGGGTGGAAGAGTGACCATCGCAATGGGGGGGGAGCATGTTCCAATGGGGTAAATGGATGTAACTATTCCATGTACCAGGACCTTCAAAGTGACCGAACTTGAGATCCCGAGGTCACGACTCGTCCATTAAGAGGTCACGACTCAGACTCCAAAGAGGTCACGTCCTGAAGGTCCTGGTAATTACACCGTATACATGGATGGTCTGGGTATGATCTTGAACCAGGTGGAAGGGTGAGTCCCTCTCGCACTCATGATCCACCTGTCTCCCGGGTTTTTGCGGAAGCTTCATGAGCGCAAAAGGAACGTGACACTCCATGAGATCCCCATAGATATGTGGAGGAGGTCACCATCACTTTGAATTGAACATCCCAAACACTGCATGTGTATGGAATATATGCCTACATTGGCAGGTTTATATGGCATACATGGAGTGTCTGGGTATGTTTTGATCTCGGCGCCATGCCATCCCATGGAAATCCACGCTGGCCGATGGGTTCTTTCGCACTGCTGGCTTAACACGTCAACATACAGGCTGCGGCTCAGCTTTTAGGATTTAGGGTGGATTATTCGAGTGGTGGGGTTTCCAATGTTCCACCCTATAGCTCCCAAGAAACCTGTATCGTAATCAAAGGCTACACTTACTCTCACTCTCTCTCCCCCTCTCTCGTTTTGTGTGTTTCTCAGGTCAAAGTTTGCAACATGTTCATGTAAAGATAGATCGTGTATGATTGTGTCAGCTTACAACCTATATAGCTTCTACCCATGGATCGTGCTTGTTCTGTAAGGGAATCTATGACCAAATGATTTGCCATGCTCAGCCCCTCACGCTTCGTCTCCAACCCGGAACCGCCCCCCACCACCGAGTGCCCCGAGGCGGCCGCCGGTCACGCCCTGCGCGTGTCCCAGTCCGAAGGGCATGGTGAGCCCCTTCGCGGCGAGTCCCGGCAGCCCTGGCTCGACGCTCGGAGTCGGAGAGAGAGGGGACGTCACTGGGGAGATGGTGCCAATTGGAAGTGCCAAGAGGTGGCAGGGGCTAGCTTCTTTTTTCGCACAAAGGCGATGAGATGGTGGGTTTGGTGTAACCAGTGGGGTACTCGTTTTGAAAGGTGGCTGGGAGGGGGTTACTGAGGTACAAAGCTTGGATGAGACTTCTCACACAAGCTTCCATGACGAGAGGCCGGCAAATCCCTAAAAGGTCTTGAGGTTTTGAGCCTTTTGGCCATTGTTCCGGGGCCAGCGTATGTTGAATGTTCGATCGAGCAGCCAGTACAACCAGATCCATGGACCTCTGATTTGGGAAACGCTTCGACCTCAAACCTCGCGCAGAAGAGCGGTCTTAGCTCCCATTTACTTTGGTTCTCGCAACGCCCAGAAACACAGCATCTTGCGCAACAGCGAAACAAGTAGTACATCCGGCATCTGGCGCATCTGGCGCCGTCTCGCGGGCCTTGATGTGAGAGGATGTGGCTGTTGTTTTCGATTCAGTCAGATAAGAGGAGCCCAAAGTGATATGAAAACATTTTTCCAACCAATCATGTCAAATCAAAAAAGGATGCCCACCAAGTCTACAGGCACTTGCGGCCATCGGCCGTTCTTCGAACGGCAAGCAGAAGAGCGGTGAAACGGACTGACTGAAAAAGAAGTTACGTTGCAACATGTGGCAACTGTTCAGTACTGGTAGGAAGAAGGAGACAAACTCAGCTAAAGAAGAAAACTCTCTAACAGCGAGTGGCAACCACTTGAGGCGCCACGCCATGAAAAGCCAAGAAGGTGGAAATCCTCGAAAAGTGTTGGAATATCTCCAGTGCCCGACGGGGGAAGTTCACCGAAGACGGACTAAAATCACGCCCATAATGAGAAGACCAAGTGCCTGCAGCCACTTGCAGCCAGTTGCTTGTGATGGACAAGCATGTAAAAAAAACAATGCGGCAATAATCACAGTAGTCCTTTGAAACCACTTGCAGCCACTTCCTTCTTTGGGCGCCTCAAGTGGCAAGTGGCTGCAAGTGGCGGTTTTTGACCAACCCAATGTCCACGTCATTTGCAATCATTTGCCATACACTCCATGTATGCCATATATGCCTACATTGACCCCCCAAACCACCCCAATGTAGGCATATATGGCATACATGGAGTGTATGGGTGTTGAATCCAGGCTTCGACAAAGCTTCTCTTTGGACGGGGCTTCACCCGTTGGGTTTTGTACAGGTCACCCGTTTTCCACCGGCGAAACCGGGCGGGAAGAATTCATGTCGAACGGCCAGTGGATTGATTGGAAAGAGTGGTTCGTTTGGGGAAGAATTCCTGTGCAATGGTGTAAGCATTGTTTTTTTTGGTAAGCCGGTGGGTGATTTTGGGTTATTAGTTTAGTATTTATAGATGCTCTGAGGTTTGCAATGGTTACCAGTTTACCTGTAACTGAGGAGGTTGTCCAAATGTGGTTCGGTGTTTCCACATGCTGTTTCAATGGAGAAGTGCAGTGGAAAGACCTTCTGTTGGACAGGACAGTGCGTCAGTGGTTGCTTCCTTTTCCGGGTGTTTGCGAGACCAACTGAGGGAAAAAAAAACAACCGTGACAAAGGACTCCGGCTGTCGCGGCTATACCCCGCGCTGTTTTCCTCCACTCTCAGGAGTGCGGTGAGCCCTGCAAGCGCGAGTCGACCGTGTGTGCCCAGTCAGTGTCTTTGGCTGTTGTTTGGTGGTGAAGTGTTGGGAGGATTGACCCTACCTTGGCACTAGATGCTGGCTCTGGAGAATATATGCGATATGGGTGGCACTTAAAGCCTGGCTGACCCTGGAGGATATGGACCTCAACGGCACAAAAACACACTAAATAAGTCAAGGGAATCCGCAGATTTCAGGGAATCCGCTGGGACCTCCGGCTTCCGCTGGTCTCTCGATGGACCAACCGGGTAGGCCAGCGGGATGATTGAACTCACTCCCCGACCTAGGCGGACGAACCGGTCGCACGTCCTCGTAGTCTGTCACACCGGTACGGTACGGCCGTGGGTCACCAGTCGTGGACGGACGATGAGGGTCGAGTTGAGTCCGTTTGCACCCCACCCCGTCGTCCCACGACCTGCCAACAGAGGTGGGTCAGAACCCGAACGTTCGACTATCCCAGGAACCGGTACCCCAGGTGACGGTCCTATTTACGGTCACTGTCCACCTCTGTAGGTGGGACTGCCATAGTCGGACGACCGAGTTTCACCGCCAGGGGTGGTGGTGCCAGGGGGGTCTGTCTGCGGCGGTCTGTCCTGGCAGTCCCAGGTCCAGGTCGTGTCGCACGGACGTCAAGGACGTCGGGACCGACTGCTTGGTCGTCACGGACAGGGACAGGATGCACAAGGACGGGAGGGAACAACCAAGCCTGCTATAAATTGTGATTATGTTCCAGGACCTTCAGGACGTGACCTCGGAGTCTGGTCCGTGACCTCTTTATGGACGAGTCGTGACCTCGGGATCTCAAGTTCGGTCACTTTGAAGGTCCTGGTTCACGTGTTTTTGGCACAGGGCCATTCATCATGTCTGGTCCTCGGGGGGAGTTGCTTTCGATTGGGAGTTTTGAACGACAGGTGCTCCAAACAAAGTTGTTTTTTCTGGTTGACAGCGGTGGTATAACAGTAGTCAATACGTGTCAGTGGTGGTGTTCCAATTGCATCCCTAGTGCCAAATTTGAGTGACCCACATGTTCAGAGTTGGTCCAGATACTACCAGCACCTCTTGGCCAACGACCCTCCGAAAGGAAGAAGCATCGCGACCCTCTTGGCTTCATGAGACATGGGGACCCAGGGATCCAGAGTTGATTTGTATCAGGGATCCAAGCATGTTTTGACCGGAAAACGCCTCAAAGTAACCGAGGGAGATGAACCAAGGCACCTTCGTCAAAGCAGCCGAGGGCCCGTTGATGACAGTTGATGACAGATGACATGCAAGGTCTGTCCCCTTCAGTATCTCAACAGGGTCTACCTTATGGGGTGCTGGGGCCTCTTTAACTGTTGTGCCCCAGCCCCTTCTAGACCGTCTACCAGCTCTTCAATGCTCTTCAAGTTCCTTTCACCCTGTGTGAAGCCGGCTACGACTCCTTGAGCATGAGTCTTCATGCTCCACACTCGATGTCCGCTGCCTGGGCCCAAACCACGAAAACCGCCAGCGCACCGCCGAAAACCCAACCGCCGTGCGCTGCTCGTGGTGCAGACCGACCGCGCAGCGATACATTTTCGACGCAGCCATGGCCATGGCACGTGCCGTGGATTTCAACGGTGGTTTGTTGGGGGGGGCGGCTTGAGTTCCGGGCAGTTGGCATTTGGCATGTAGCGAGACTGGCCAGAAATCACCCATGTAGTTTGCCCAAACTAATTTGGATAGACCCTTTAGATGCTGGTTCCTCAGGGTAGATGGCCCAGGCCAGACAAGTCAAAGCACCCAGCTGTCGGGACTGCCGTGTTCCGAGCTCGGCAGCGCTGCCGAGCGCCACCGAGCTCGGCTTTCTCCTCCACCCATCCGTGGCTTTCTCCACCACCCAGTGGCGAGCTCCGGTCGGTCCTGGAAACCCCGGCGCGTTGGCGGACAAAGGTCCGCCGGAAAGAAGATGTTCCTCTAAGCAGTTGGCGGTAGTTGGCTGTTACATGCTGTTACTGTATACAGCAGTTTGGGGGGGTGGTGTTAAAGACTAAGTACTACCTGCAGGTGTGTCGTAGCTGGGTCATTGAAGAAGTCGACCAGCTTGCCACTTCGAGTAGGTTTCGGGTCAGACGGAGTCGATGACGGAGAAGGCTGGCATGGGGGGTCGAAGAAGAGGTTTGCATGCATTGTTGTTGTTTGTTGTTTGTTGTTGTTCGTTTTTGTTTTTGTTTTTGTTTTTGTTTTTGTTGTTGTTGTTGTTGTTGTTGTTGTTGTTTGGTGGTGGTGGTGGTGGTGGTGGTGGTGGTGGTGGTGGTTTTTGTTGGCAGGGGATTCGGATAGCAGCTAGGCATGGACCAGTGACTTTCATGCTAGAAATTTGATGGAATTCTGCTTATCGATATATGTGTCCGACATCTTGGGGGTCACTTGAGCCCGTCAAGTTTTTCTTAGCTCGGCTGGGAGACGGATATAGAGACACGGTGCAATTGTTTGGAAGGGTGCCGCGAGGAATTCTGGCTCAAACACAGTAATGTCGCGGCCAGGTGTTCCTGTAGCCGCCATCGTATTTGCGTTGTGTCTTGGATGGCCATTGAGGTGTTTGGTGTTGAAAGCCTCACAGTTCCAGCACCTTCTGCATGATCTTGGGCAGACACACGAGGCCTACGCAAGCCACGCGGGACATGCATTGTCCTTGCAGTCCCCCAAGCGCCGCGGAAGGATCTTGAACGACTTTTGCAAGAAGACGCTGGCCCAGCTGCATCCGGACAGTAAAATCGAGGAACCTCGTTTGGGGACCTGTTGCAATGGAGCTCGAAGGTCAGCTTCACAGGCGGAGTATGACTTCATTCTGGATGGCCGCAAAGTTCGGTGCAAGAGTGCGCAGATGTCTTGGAGGAAGGCGCAGAAGTCGTGGGGTGTCAGCTTTCATAGCATCAAGTTGCCATTGCAAGGTTTTCGGGACCAGGCTCCCTTTGATGACTTGTATCTCATAATATTCAGCCCAGACAGCTTGCACATCATCAAGCATGACCTTCAGACAGGAGTTACCTCAAGTGGCAAGCGAACAGGATATGGTGGCCACTGCATTCGCATGTGTAGTGCTTGTCGGCAAGAAGGTTGGCAAAAAGCACGATCTCAAATCCTCGGCAAGTTCTTGGCTGACGGTCACTGCGAACTGGTGGCTCAAGTAGATTTATGTGCGGTTCAGGTCAGCAGCTGGCTGAAAAGGCAAATGAAAGGTATTAAGACGCTCCAAGACAACGCATACAAAGGGGTCCCCCTCAATGGCGCAAATCCTACAACGCGTGGTTTGCGAATTAAGGACATGGCATTCGAAGTGGATCAAATTCTCCATCCAAATTGTTCCCCGGGTGCATTTTCAAGATGCCTTTCTGCCGTAGACTGGGTTCGTGGAGGCGTCAAAGTGGAAGTGAAGCACGGGCAGATGCGCCTCAACAATGCCCTCAGGCGTTGGCAATGTGAATTTTCGGGCATCAAGTGTGCAAGTGCGGGTACTCGTGACCGTGAGCTTTTTGACGAGCTTTGGCTTGCAATTTACAGCCCGCTGGGCATTCATTTGTTCAAGCATCCTGGAGGCCACGTCCGACTCAGCCTCACAGGATTGAACGAACAAGAGGCAGGCAGGAAGATGTTTGTCCGCGCCAGCCAGAAGGTGCTTGACGTCAGGCAGGCTCTTGATGAAATGCTGGAAAAGCTGGAGAACTGGGGCTGTGAGCTTCTTGCAACAGTTCTGTGGGACAATGGCGGATCATTCAAAGAGAATGATCCGCTAGCCCATTGATCGCTTGATTTGGGCACTGTGTTGTGAGGCAGCAAGGTGGAAAAGACCACCCATCCAGGTGTTCCATGGTGACCTCTCTACGCTCCAAACAAGGCTCGCCAACGCCCATGGAGCTAGACTCGATCCTTGTGAAACTTCGGGATGGGGCAGTCTTCCTATCCCATACACTCCATGTATGGAATATATGGCTACATTGACCCCCCTGGCACCACCCCAACTGATCGGCATATATGGCAGTCCCATGGAGTGTATGGGTATATGACCCCCAACCCATTCGACCACAGCATTTGGACCTATAGGGTCACCACAATATGTGGTGCATGGGTGTTTCGCCCGGATCACAGCGACTGGGCCCACACGGCTTTTTAAGGTGTTGCTTGGACCCTGGCGGTGGCTCATGCTGCTTGCTTGGACTCCCAAGCCTGTGTGGAGGAGGACTGCAGTGTACCTTGAGACTTCGGAGTCCCAGTGTGTGTTTTTGTTGGGGCGAGGTGGATCTCAGGATATCTCAGGATAATGTACTCATTTGGATATTTTGGATTCTAAGGAGTACAGCAAAAATAAATTTTAGTCTCAGGATAGTACAATCATGTACGATCCAAACTGTCAAAAAGAAAGACATTAAACAACATACATAATTTGTGTCACTGCAGTCATACATACATCTCTCGATATACTCCTTGCAAGAGTAAAGATGGACCCTGAGAACCACTGGTTTGTGGAGGACAACAGTCTTTCAGACTACCATTCTCAGGGTCCATGTTAGTTGTCGCGAGTGCATTTTGAGGGGCATACTCTCTCAGGAACCGATAAAGCCTCTTTTTGTCCGTTAAATCAAAGATGGGTGATCCCCTGCTACGTCACCAACGAGTTCGTTCGGCTCACCATGCTTCAGGAAATGCCAAAGACCTTGGGGGGTGTCCTTCTTATTTATAAGGAGTCCATGTAAGGAACATCAACATCAACCAAGACCGTTTTCCAAAGGTCTTAGACTTGGTCATTGACTTTTGATTCGGGGTGTCCCAGGGACAACCTGTAGAGCCGTCAGTAAGAGGTCGAGTTTTATCACTTTTCTTGGGATGTTGGCCAACCATCATCATCCACTGGGCCCAGGGAATGGGATAGAACTAACCATATACCCAACGAATACCATCAAAGACCCACTTTGGAAGGAAACTGATACTCGTATCTATATACTTTTCACGTGTTGTATGGTGTTTTTGACCGCAAGCTAAGCCAAGTGTACGAAACTTCCACTCAGGGTAGCTTTTGACAGATCGATGTGTGTATTAGGAAGATCCCCAACCAATGGATGTTTGTAGGCTTTTTGTCTATGTTCCTTCTTCCTGGGTGTTGGGGTGCCTAGGAGGTCTCCCTAAGACCGGTCGCTACACAGCTCACGTCCTGATGCGCTCCATGCGACTCTCCAGCGCGCTCTGGAGGAGGAAGCGATGGAGTTGGCCCAGCTGCGAACGCAGCTCCTGCAGGCCTTTCTGCTTGGAAAACCTCACGCTGGAACGGGAGCGTGGTCATTTTGAAGGAGAGGAGGCTATACCTGTAGGGATGTAGATGAGTTGGAGAAAAGAGGTGAGGAACCAGGGGCACTGATGAATTCAGACATCCGGAAGCTTATACCAAAGAGTCCTGGATCATTTCACTCATGAATCCAGTGTGACAGGTTTACTGTTTGAATTGGAGGGCCTGACCGTTGAAGACCACGCCTGGCGAAAACCCCAGGACTTTTGGGGTTCTTTATGGACTTTGTGGCTTGGGTGCTGATCTCGAGTTTGGGCAGAGGCTTCCACATCCACTTGGCCTTCAAAGCTGAAAAAGCTCTTGGATTCATCTACGCCCAGGAGTCACAAGGAGTTGGGTGGTGTTTGGGGCACCCCTATCCTCCAAGTTCGGCACCCCTGTTTGTGACTCCTGGTGTAAATGAACCCACTCGTGTGGTTCAGGTCACCATGCTAATTCCTTCCTGATGTTGGGAACACCCCTGACAGAGTATCGCCTCTATTTTGGTCGCTGGAATCTACGAGGGCTGCTCCAGAATAGTTCCAGAGCATTGAACACCCCATACATACTTCAGAATTGAGAAGTATACGATCAATATTTGCTTTACTTGGGGTGTGCAAGGTTTTTTGCCCAACAATCTGGGTGTCAGAGGAAAGTCATGAACACCACTATGCCTAGAATCTAAGTGATCTTTGTCTTGGACTCTGAGCCATATCAGAGGTGATGTTTGAGCCAAACAGGAGAAATGATAACCCCCCTGTTTGAGAGCTGCGACGGTCAGAAGCCTCCCTCAGCGCCTGCCTTTTTTCCGCCGCTTTCGTCCCAAGGTGAAGATGGAACTTTCATCCTCCAGCGAGGAAGCCGAAGGCGTTTACGGGAGTCATGGCGCAAGGCTTTCGATGCTCCTTCCCACGGTTGTTCTGGCGCCAAAGGACCCCTTTGGATGACATTACCCATGGCCAGTCAAAGTGGATCACCTGGAAAAACAGGGGACGAAGTGGTGACACCCCACTCAACACCAACAGGTAGACTTCGTTTGCTTCACCAGTTCTGGTCCGAAACGGCTCGTTTTTCCGTCAACGTCATCCGTGTGGCCAGCAGTTCAGTGACGTCGGCGGAGGGCGAATGTTCGCCATGGACTCCAGTTTCGCTTCGTGCAGGTCCCACGTGATCTGAGAGGGTGGGAGAGGAGCAGACGATCTAGGTACCCCTACAAGTCCAGTCTGACCCAGTAAAACCTGGTCGACTTGACCTCTATTAAGTATTGGTTTTGTATGACCATCCCCAGTAAAATGAGGTTTTTGACTTGTAGGGTACCCTAAGAGTGTGCTGCTTTGTATGGCTACCTTCTTCCATTTGGTGTGGTGGGATAGGCATATATCGGCCTGGCTCGTGGTTGGTGGCTGGTGGTTTCAAACAGTTTTGGTGTTCTTCAGCTGGGGTGACTCATACCAACTATGTAAAAGGACATCTTCCGTGTCGTTTGGTCAGGCACACTGTTCCTTGGTCCAGGACGGCCAGGTGCAAACCTGCCGTTGAACCCGACCGGATGTTGTTCACCCCGTCCACCAAACGTAGCGAAGATCCATGAAGATCCAATCCTTAGGGCTCCAAGTACCTCCTCAGAAGGTGAGGACGGAGACACTGTTATGTAAGGATTGGAGGGTCCAGCCCTACCTTCTGAGGAGGTACGACCGGATCCCTAGGGAATCATGACTATCACCAATGCCTACGCCGAGCCGAACGCCGACCAGTCTGTCGACAGACTGGTCGTGTTTGGCGGTCCGTCCTTCTGACCTAAGCTGAGCCAGCTTGACTTACCACACCCAAACACTCCATGGGATTGCCATGTCGGACTGCCGAGAAACGGCCAGGGGTGGTGCCAGGGGGTCTGTCTGGGGCGGCATACATGGCAGTCCCATGGCTTGACTTACCACAGACAGAATTCTAAGGTGATTCGGCCGAATTCCGCCAGACGATCAATGTTCTCATCTGAAGAAGAGTGTCAGCAGTCACTTAGAGAGTGTCAGCAGTAGTGTCAGCAAAATACTGCAGGTTTTTTCGTGTCAAGCTCCTCCTCAGCAGCTTCTCTTCCCGGATCGTTCCATCTTCGCCATGGTGGTTCACAACGAGCGTTGGACCGTCATGGTCCTTCGTCCGACCGTTCGTGCGCGGAAAGGTTCACCCCCTCCGTGGTGCACGGTGTTGGACGACCGTTTTGCTGAGGAAGCTTTTGGTGGACTCACCCAGCTGGTGTGGACACATCCCGTGGATCGTCCAGTTCGTAGCGCCGGCCTCGGACGGGACCGTGGGAGCGCTTGGGGACCGGGCGCGGGATAGGCGTCGGTGGCTTTCCCGATGTTGGAGGCCGGCGGTGCCAGCGGTATCCGGAGCAGGGCGGTAGAATGCAGGTGATTCAAGGCTGCTCACCCTCCAGAAAGGTTAACTTATAGGACCGCACTGGAGCACCTATTGGGATAGTCTACAGGGTCCTTCAACCTCTGGTGAAAGCCTGTGCGGTCACCTCGGTTGACGTCGGTGGGCTGCTTGTTCCGCCACGGGGTGCGGTCGGACCGCACCAAGCGCACGGTGCAAACAGCAGCCGTGTAGCCACAGATCTCATGAAGAATCCATGACGAACACTGGGTCACGAATCGGTGTCGTGTGGGCTACCCCCAAAAGAAGAGAAGCCACCCTGCCACGTGACGACACAAGCACGGTGACAAGTCCATTTCCTGAAAAAGACGGCAACATCAGTTAGTCGAGCTGTCAGTCAACTACTAACAGTGGGTGTACTGTGGTTCCTGCCGACTTGGCTTCACCATCCACAGAAACTCGACTAAAAACTCCGGAAATGAGAGATCGTTATGTGCATGCAGGTAGGCTACCTTCACATACCTGGACCCTCCAAGGGGTGTCCAATGGACTACCCCACACTACCCCACTAGGCTTCCAGACAGGGCACCCCTTGGAGGGTCCTGGTAGCTTAAGGTTTATGTGACATAACATATGTCATAGCTTCCCGCATCGGAGACTTTGGGTGCTGAGATCATGGTCCTTCCCGCGGTGGAAGCAGATGGAAAGACCGGGTCGGGGAAGTGTTGAAGCTGATACTCTCTACCCGGTTCGTTGAGATGCTACACGTCGGAAGCACGTACCCGGACATACCCTCCAAAGCCACACTGTTCTAGCAGGATGCGACTGTCGGATTCTGCTCAGACTAGGCCACACCCCACTCCTTCCCTGCACCACACCACTGGCAGCTGGCAGTTCGTTCGTGCCAACCTGCCGAGGTGCCACCCTGCTGGTTTGGCAAACCGGACCGCAGCGACGAACCCAAAGGCCCTGATGGCAAGCCAGCGACGCGGTGGCAGTCACATCGAGTTGTGGAGGGTGGAGGGTCCTGGAGGGTCGAGGGTCCTGGAGGGGCGGATCAGGTGATTGGTTGCTTTCCAGATGGGTCAATCCTCTTCTGGGTAGGTCCTTTGGTTCCTTGAGCGACACAGTAAGCAAATCCAAGGTCGCGGGAAGTGGGGAAAAGGCCCTGGAGACACGGAAGGTGATGGAGCACAATGGATTCTTTTTGTCCCCAAACAGTGTGGACACACTTGGGGGTTCTTACGGTAGTAGCTAAGCAGCTGTGCTTAGATCGCTGGGGCGCGCGGGCGTGACCGGCTAATTCGCTGCTATCTACAGTACATGCATGCCTCTCGAAATCCTCGAAGTGCATTTCGACTGCGCAGGCTCGCGAAATCTGGGTGGCCGTGGCGGGTGCTTCTAGCGACTGCGCTTTCGTTGTGGTGCCGTGCGCATTTTCGCACATGGTGGTCACTTTTGTGGCAGGCGCAAGGGAAACCTCATGTTTTGGTGGTCCAAAGTCGACTTTTCGTGACAGGCGTAAGGGATCGGAGCGGCTTTACTTCGAAGTGCAGATTTCGTGACAGTCGACATGTGGCTCGTTTGCAGATTTCATGGCAGGCGCGGCACTTTGTGAACCTCGAAGTGCAGATTTCGTGGCAGGCATAGCACTTTGTGAACCTCAAAGTGCAGATTTCGTGGCAGGCGCAGCACTTTGTGAACCTCAAAGTGCAGATTTCGGGACAGGCGCAGCACTTTGTGAACCTCGAAGTGCAGATTTCGTGGCAGGCATAGCACTTTGTGAACCTCAAAGTAGCCAACGAGCGGGCCCAGCGATTGCCGATTGAAAATTGGAAATTGGAGAGCCCATTCCAAGTGCGAAAGATTGCGGCCGACGAACTTGTTGAGCAGCGAGGCCTTAAAGGTACCGTTGCAAAGGCCGCCATTCGCGAACTCTGGAAGACCCCCAACGACCAAGGAAAGAGAGGATCCAACGAGGCCTGTAGTAGTTGTGACGAACGAAGACAGGCGCAGTTGCCTGTGGCTCAGGACTACATCAAGCGACGGGGACTTAAGGGCCCTGCTCGGCTTGGATCGAGCGCCAAGTCAAAGGCGGCGCCAAAGGTGAACTTGACACCAAGACCAAAAGAGAAGGCCAAAGCAAAGGCCACACCGACAGTAGGCCGCAATCCGGAAGAGCTGACACGGACCACCATCGAGGTCCGTGGAGTGCCAAAAGCTTCCAAACCTTCCCAAGGGTGAAAGCCCTTGGACCGGCCTGGTAAGGGGCCGAGAGCAGCGCCGACAGGGGTTGAGATCGGGGAACCATGGCATTGGAACAGCAGATTCAACAGTTGTCTGATATGGTTTTGCAACTCCAGCAAAACCAAGCACGTTTGGAACAGGAAAACCAGGTGTTGAGGGAGTCTCAAGGTGGAGTATCAATGTTGGCCTCAGCAGTAGGAGAACTGGCTAAGAGCCTTGAGAAAAAGGAAGATAGACGAAAGTCCCAAATACTTATGGACACCAAAGGTTTGGGACGCCCTGAGAGCTTTGGGAATGTGGAGGGGGATTTCCGAAAGTGGGCCAGGAGTATTGACAACCTGTTCATAACCACTTTTGGGAGAGAATTCATTGAAGTTCTTGAGTATATTTTGGAGCAGGAAGACGCGATTGAAATGAGTGCCATGGAGTCCGCATTTGGGACTGGTACCATAGCAGCCATCGATGATCTAGAGGATAAAGCTGATCAAATTCATCGCGTCCTCCTGACCCTGACCTCAGGTGAAACAGAAGATTTGATGGTAGGAGCTTCAAATGGATTTGAAGCATATCGACGGGTTCACCGTCGTTGGGATCCCCGAACCTCGGGACGGAAACGCAATATACTTCAAGCAATTCTCCAACCTGAACGAGTCAAAACGTGGGCCGCGGTGAGGCCAGCGATCGAACAGCTCGAAGAACTCATCAGGCGGGCAGATGTCGTGGCAGGCGCAGCACTTTGTGAAACATTTCGTGGCAGGCACAGCACTTTGTGAACCCCGAAGCGCCGATTTCGTGACAGGCACAGCACTTTGTGAACCTCGAAGTGCAGATTTCGTGGCAGGCACAAACCTCGAAGTGTACTTTGAAGCTGCTGGTTTTACTAATGTGTTATCAGTGTTACACTAGTTACTTACTACTTAATAACACTTTAGTAACACTCTAGCAATGAGTTATAACCAGTTATAACCAGTTATAATGTTGTTAAGTAGTTATATTTTTTAAGATAGTTATCTGTCTTTTTTTAACTGTTAGGCTAACATGTTTAACAATCTTAAAAAAATTGATGAGATACTAAAGGTTAGATATGTTGTTTTCCAGTTTTAAACAACAATTTTGTTAGTTTTGTGTGTGAATATTTTATTTAAAAACAATATATATTTATTGTTCTTTGGAACACAAAACAACAAGTTTGCATGTCAGCCAATACAGGCATTGTCAGCCAATACAGGCTTTCAATTGCTATTGCCAGTACAGGCTTCCTTTCGAGCAGCTTGCATGCACATGAATTCCATGCAGCTGCACACTTTCAAGGTGTGATGAGGCCATGAGGCCGTGTGAGGCCATGAGGCCATGTGATGTTTTCATGGCATGCTCAAAAGGTCAATGGACATGGCCATGTGTGCAGTCACAAAACATGATGCAATTCTTGAACAAAGTTCCTTGAACACTTGCGATGTCTTTGCCATGGGTAAATCAATTGCATGCTGTGATGGAGTCTGCTGACCCCATCAACATGAAAGCTGCTAAAGCTTTGGCACTTCTCAAAGAGAATGGTCTTGCTTACGAGGCCACAGTGAGGCCAAAGGATGTCCTAGTTCACACCTCAAACCGAGGTGGTGCCATGGTCAACGGTTATGATGTAGCCTCCAAGGGGCAGGCTATCTCAGAGCTAGGGTGGGACTTACAAAAAGTGAGACAATCTGTGGCCTTGGAACTTCCTGTGGACCAGGCCAAGAGACAAACCATTGTCAAGGCCAACTTGACCCTGGCAGAACAATCCGATGGCATATTATGCAGACCTTTTGGGCAAGAAAGATTTTGCTTTTTATCCTCCAGCCACACAACCTGTTTCTTGCGGAGCCTAGAAGCAGGATGTGAGGTCATGCCTGGCAAAGCTTCAGTTGAACAGCTGGTGGCCAAGGGTGACGACCTGGGAAACATGATGTTTCAAGGATGGCAGTGGACCATTATCAGTTGCAAGGTTGATGAGGAAGTCCCCAATTTAGCAACCATGCTACAGCAGGCAGGCATACAACAGCCACTGGTATACACCAACAAATTTTCATGTTTTCCTCAAAGCTTTGGAGTTTTGGGATGTATTGCCAGCCATACAAGTATGTGCACCTATTCAATTAAAGCTGTGAGTTTGTTTATATATTGGCATTTTGTTCTCTAATGTTCTCTACATAGATGTATGGTTCATGTGGCTTCAATGCCAATCTGCCAAATTGGGAAACATCAGGCGATCTTTCCATTGGCAAACCTCCAAGTGAGTTGGAGGTAATGATGACAATAGCTCATACATATGGTTTCCAAGCTGCTGGCGGCAAGGACCTCAAGAAGGCAATTGGTCAGGCAGCTGCTAGCTGTCCACCCTGCAAGCCTTACATAAAGACCATCGGCAATTTTGCTGCAAGCTATGCAGGAGGAGAGGACTTCAAACTACTCAAGTACTTGGACTTGATTGGATTCTCGATTGCATTTACTTCTTTGTTGCATACTGCAATATCCAACTTTCAGCCATTACAGGCATTCAACCATTCAACCATTACATATAGGCCTGTGCAGGCTTGGCCATACAGGCCCATGATGACAAGTGAAAACACATTGCAGCCTGTGCAGGCTCATTGAATGCATGCCTTTGAACATAATCCCCTTGGCTTTCTCCATGCTGAGGACGATCATATGGAGCATCTGTGATGCTTGGAGGAGAATTCTGTAGCCTTGTGGCCTATACAGACTGGAAGCTGCCAACCACAACACTGCCATTCATGAGAGTTGCCATGTGTGCAGCTCAAATCACAGCACCCAAGCAGCAGTGCAAGGATGGATTCTCCAGAATGATCACCAAAGGAGATTTTGACAAGTTGAAGCAAAAAAAGCACCTGCCTAAGTTGGAGCAGGCAGAGCAGCTGATGTGTGCAGCCTGGGAGGCTGTGGGGAAATCTGGCTTCCCCATAACAAAGACTGCCAAAGTCTTTGGCAAATTTCAGATTCGAGTGGTCCTCCACCTCCTGGACAAGGAAGTCAAGGGAAGGGAAGGAACCAAGTATGAATCTTTTGAAGATATCAAGAACCGGTTTGAGGATGACTTGTCGCAGGCTGACAAGGAGACTGCAGCTGTCTCTGCACCTGAAGCCAAGGCTGTGTCCTCACAAAGTGTCAAGTCTTTGATGGATGCCAAAGATACACAAGCCATTGCTTTGGCAGCACACAAGCACATTCAGCTGGGGAAGCTCTATGTGCACAAGAAAGAGAAGGAGGAAACCAAGGTGTGGAAGCTCACTGAATTCACTTAACTCACTAGTAAAACCAGCAGCTTCAAAGTAGATTTCGTTGCAGGCGCAGCACTTTGTCCATGATCTTCAGCTGCTTGGAGGTGCTGCCCCAGCCCAGGACCGGCCACGAGCCCTGGTTGTCGATCACCTGGTGGTCCATTGCCTCCTTCCATATCTCGCTCGTGGAGTTGGCTGTGGATAGCCTGGTCACCCCCTCTTGCAGTGTCATAGTCATACCAACATGCTGAACAGAAGCGTCTGGAGAGCCATCGGGGCTTCCTTCTTCTTTGCCGCTTTCTTCCATTCCTTAGTCTTCTTGAGCATTGTATTGTGGGCAGGAGACCTGACGGTGCTATCTGCATGAATAGGATGAAGGAGTCGCTGGTGGCAAGAGCTTGAAGATGCCTTCCCCGTCTCGTGAGAAGTTTCACGACGTTGGTGAGATTGGAAGTACTGCCAAAGTCCTCCTCTGTGTTGCCCTTGGACCTCTTTGCCGGCTGCCTCCTTGGGCTGGCAATCAGGCTGCCGAAGCTTTCGCCCAGCTGCTTCGTCGTCCAGCTCCAGTTTCGACATGATGGATCAGCCAGGATGTCCGAGTGTTGCGCTGCCAAATGATTTCAGCCGAGGAGGCCGGGGATACCGAGCGCCGAGGCGCCAGATCAGCATTTGGTGTACTGCGCGACAATGCCAAGGCCCATATTTGCCAGGCAAAGAAGCGCGGTGCTGCCACACTTCGAGAGCGCCTTGAGACAGATCCCTTCTATGCCGTGAACTGTGCCCGAGCCAATTTGACACCAGATCCACCAGTAAAGCAACAGAACCGCCCATCATGCGGCCACCGCCGCCAAAGCCGAATCCAGCTTGAGGCGATTGACTTGGAAGGCGCCATGATTGAATTCTCCTTTCTTTTAGCCCTTTATTGTTTCTCCTTCGGTTGCTGGAACTCCCCCACACTGCGGAGGAATTCCTCGATGGCGAGTCCTCGCCGCTCCGCACCACCCTCGCAGATGCACCGTGGCTCGACCGGCCACCGGTCAGCCGCCTCCCTGGGCGGTATAAGCTGGACCCCCCCGGCCGCTCCCCCTCCTGTGCGGCCGTAAAAGAAGCGGGGGAGAAAAAAAAAGAGATAGAACCACGAACCCGACTGCAAACACGTACTCGCCAGAAACACCCAAAGAATTTTTGACATGACACTCTTGTAGGAGACACTTTTGTGGGACACTCTTGTCGGACACTCTTGCGGGGCACTCATGCGGAACACTCTTGTAGGACTCCCTTGTGGGACGCTCATATATTATGACATTCTTATGGGACACTCTTGCGGAACACTCTTGTAGGACACTCTTGTGGGACATCCTTGCAGAACACTCTTGTGGGACACTCTTGTAGGACACCTTTGCGGAACACTCTTGTGGGACACTCTCGTAGGACACTCTTGTCGGACACTCTTCTGGGACACTCTTGTAGGACACTCTTGTGGGACATCCTTGCAGGACACTCTTGTGGGACACTCTGGTTGGACACTTTTGTGGGGCACTCTTGTAGGACATGCTTGTGGGACACTCTTGTTTGTTACTCTTCTATAGGACACTGTTATATGTCACTCTTGCGGGGCACTGATGTGGGACACTCTCGCACGGCACTCTTGCGGGAACACTCTTGTAAGACACACTTGGGATCACTCTTTTGGGACACTCTCGTATGGCATTCTTGTGGGACACGCACTCTTTGGGACATGCTTGTAGGACACTCTTGTGGGAAACTCCTTTGTAGGACTCTGTAGGACACGCTTGTGGTCGTGAAGTCAACCGTCACGGCGAGCGTTTCATACGAGCCTTCTGCCAAAATTCACCCGTCAAGTCTCCCAAACGAGCATTTCGCACGAGATATCCTCAAAAACTCACCCTTGAAGCCGGCAAAACGAGCATTTCGTACGAGACTTCCTCCAAAAGTCACACTTGAAGTCTGCCAAACGAGCGTGTCGCACGAGACTTCCTCCAAAAGTCACGCGTCAAATCTCCAAAACGAGCGATTCGTACGAGACTTCCTCCAAAAGTCGCGCGTCAAGCCTCCATATAACGAGCATTTCGTACGAGACGTCCTCCAAAAGTCACGCGTCAAGTCTCCGAAACGAGCGTTTCGTACGAGACTTCCTCCAAAAGTGACATGTCAAAGTCTCCATAACGAGCATTTCGTACGAGACTTCCTTCAAAAGTCAAGCGGGAAGCTCCATCAGAGCACACACATCAAGCCACGCTGCCAAGCAGTTTCGCAATTCCAGCTCCTCCAAACAACACCCGCTCACACGCCAATCCCAATGTCACAGCGACATTCACGTCCACCACACCTTGCAACCTCACGATTCCCTGCACCTGCCACGAGAATTTGCACAAAATACTGCGCCTGCCACGAAAAGTGCAGCTTTTGTGGTTGGTGTTTTCAATTTTGGTGACCGGCCGCGGTGGAAGCTGCCCCCCAAACATGCTCAGTGGTCAAGATGCGCGTTGCCTTCTACAAAACCATCAAGACTTTGCGTTGACACAGTGCCAGTCCCCATGGTCCCCATTCGGCATAGAGAATTATGACGGTGGTGGTCCCTTAAAGCACGGCCCCTCAGTGCCAGTCCCCACTCAGCATGGTAAGTTACTAGTAGCAAAGGGCATCGTTACTAGGAACAAAAACGCTACTAGTAGCTCTTGGCCTTAAAAATTTCCTACTAGGAGCGATCGGACGCTACGAACGGGGCTCCTGGCCTTACTTAGGATCTCTTAAGTGTTCCGAATTGGCTCGGCTGAGCTCGTCCGACGGAGCGAAGTTCGGCTCGAGGCTTGGTGTCAGCACGTCTACCAGGGAGCGAAGCCATATGTCGAGGAGATGGGACCGGAGGGGTCAAAGAAGGCTGTCAACCCCTAACTTTCTTTCTTTCAAATGAACGCTTCGATTGGACGGACCGGCAGGATTGAATTCGGTTGTGTCGAATCCAAATCACCATAACACTATACCAGGAGTCACGCTCGACGGGGTGCCGGTGCCGAACGGAGGAAGGAGTACAGGTGCCCCGGAAGTCGCATCCACTCACTTATAATAGAGGGACTTCAAACCATCCCGTTGTGGGACCTGTGGGATGTGGTGGGTCGATAAGTTGGGTAAATACCCGACGTTGATGGAACATGAACGGACTAGGGAGGTGAAGAGGGTTTCGGGTGGCACGACCGGCAGCCATCTAGCTGGTATAGCTGTGGTTCCAAAGGATCAAGAACATGCATATATAGATGATAGACCGACCGAGAGCCCCTCTACTTGAACCCCTGATGACTGGTTCAACAGAACCGAACGCTTCTTAGTTGCTCCGCCCTAAGCTGTATCAGATTGTGCGCTAACATGATTTGTGTTTCTTAATTAGGATGATGTTGGATTGAGTTGACCAGCTTGTCCACGTTATTAGACACGTGAACCAGTTCTTCGACGACAAAGATTCGCGCCATCAATGCACACCTGAAACGTCCCGAAACCCAAACAGAAGAGGTCTATCAGCATTCACCTACACGCACCTATCATGGCTTCGTGGTGTTTGTTATCATTCAACAAGTTGCAACTCTGATCGGTGTGACCTCGACCATCATATTCCACGCCTCGGCACTGCCCGGAGCAACTGCCCGGAGCAACTGCTTGAGGAGTGCGCGACCCTGGGCTCTGGCCCACCGCCCGTTTCACCAGCCGCTTCACCGGCCGCTTCACCGGCGGCACCGGCCAAGAAGCCGGCCAGGCGTGGAAGACGGAGGCGGAGGGAGGCATGTGGGGGTGTGCGTTTAGAAGAGGGAGACCCCACCAGTTCGATCCCTAGCATAAAGAATTACATGCTGGAAAGCTAACATGGACCCTGAAAAATCTGAAAACCACTGGTTGGTAAGAGGAAAACCATCTTCCAGGGGGGCAGACAGTCGGGGTCTCTGTGAGTTTTCAGGAGTGTATACTATACACCTGGGGAACCTGATCTTTGGAAGACGATTTTTCCTCTGCAACCCGACGTGGTTTTGAGGTTCCATGGGGGGTCTCGTACCCCAGGGCGATCCAGGGCGATCCTAGGCTATATAGGCCCCCGGAAGGGAAAACAAGTAACAAAACATGCTGCAGAACCTACGAGTGCAGGGGGCCCACAGCTGGCTTTGCAGGGAGGGAAAGGATCGATGTTCCCCAATGAAAATGCAGAAGGTTGCAGAAGCATCCGGAACCATCCCGTGATTCTCCGCAGCCTGGAGAGTGGAAGGAGTTTCTTGGACCCAGTGGATGGGCGCAGATGTTTCTTCATGGGTCTTCTTTCCTTTCAGAGAAAGTGCGAGAGTTCGAGCCAGACATCCCAAGTCCGTGCCAGCTCCTAAGGAGTCCTAGATAGTGCGACAGGTCTTACATCCCAAGTCCTTGTCAGTGCCAGGCTCCTAAGGAGTCTTAGATAGTCCGACAGGTCGTTTTGGCCAATGTGTTTCGTTTTGAGTTCATGTTTGGAAGTCGGGGTGCCCCGAATTCACATTCACTGGATGAGACTGGATGAAACTCCGTCTCTGGGATCTGGATCGTGCAGTCGATTGGCATGACCATCCGCTTGGGACCGGACCTACGCCAGTGCCGACCAGTCGGCGGCTTGCAGCCGACCGCATGGCATGCAGCCCCTCCGCTTTTTCGTGGAAGGCGTCGCGTCGATGCGCGTAGCAGGAAGCCTGACTGGTGCGCGCACCTGCCTGAAGCCACTTGGAGCGATGAAGTGGGAGTCGAAGAAGCATGGAGGACCTTCCAACTGGTGGTTTTTGGGACGCCCCTTAACCTCTAAGAGGCTTTTTCTAGACACCTCTTGGTGTCGGTCCTGTATGGAGAAACATATCCCAAAGACTCTATGGGACTGGCATAGACTACAGCTGATCCCATGTCTTTTTTTCAGGAGAGAAGGCGTAGGCGACGCCAAAAAGCTCCGAACCGTTGACTCGAGGCATCCAAGAAGTACACCCCAGACTGCAACGATCAGATTGAGTCCCTGTGGTTGCGCCTCACCTGAAGAGCTGGACTGCTGAGAGGGACGCTGGGCGACTGGGAAGAGTCAAGATGCCCACCTACGCTGCCCACCTGGGCATCGTCCCAGGTGATCCCTGCCGGCGACTGCAAGGGCTCTTTCGATGTCTTTGGATTGACCATGATTGACCCTTCGCGGGTGGTCCCTGTTTCTGGTTGGGTTCGGTCGATCTTGGAACATCTTGGCTGACTACTCCTGTTGTGTTGAAATGTATTGTGGACCCGTTTCTCTATGACGGTGCTTCTTCGTTCCATGAAGACAGGCGCCCACTGGCGGATTGGGAGCCCTCAAACCGGTGCAAGAGAGCGGTAACTCCGCGGTGGTCTCTCCTTTTGTGGTGAGCCATTCGCAAGATCCTAGCACCATACACTTGGTTGAAAGGTGAGGGAAATCAGCATACCTTCGGGTGATTCCAAGCCAAGCCGAAGTGACATTGGAAGCCAAGTCCTTTTTGGATGCTAAAGGCTGCACCAGTTCGCTCTGAGGCGGCAGCGGGAGGCGAATTGGGCCTGGCGCCCTGAGGCAGCAGTGCTCATGGAATTGGACCACACGCAGAACAGCTCGAGCGACGTGGTCTATGGCCCCGTGGCCAAGATCGGTATACCGAAAACGGTGGGGTGTTGGAATCGGAGCAGCCTGGTTTGGGTGAGTGGGCCGCACGGCCCCATTGTTGGGTTTTGCTTAAGGTGATTTGGTAGGTGTCCTATTAGTAAACCCATGTAAAAACCATTAAAAACCCTTCTGGTGAATACAGTATGTTTGTTTTTGTCCAGGTTCCTTAAGCAATTCCAAGATTCCGGCTGAAGAAGAGCTGTCCATGATGGGTTCAGGACCTCTGGGATACTAACCCCCTAGAGCCTTCCAAGACCCACAAAATAAAGGTTGGGCAACCAGTCCTCAGTGGTGGGTGGAATGGACTAATTAGTGTAACAATACAAGAACCTTCCATGTCCTGCAAGTGTGAGGAGAGGACCTTCCTTCCATCGTTCCAGCGTCTCAGCGAATCGCGAGGAATCTCCCCGAGAGGTTTCTAGGCCTCATGTGCTTGAGGCAAAAAAGGGGCGTGTAGGGAGACCAAGGCCGACCTCCTCGAAGAAGAAGCATAGACCAAAACCATCCCAAAAACCCATATGGTCGAAACGGGGGTTGCCCTTGATGCAGGCGACATGTGCCCAGAGATGCAGATCACCTATCCACAGGGGCTACCGGCTCCACCAAACCGGTCATCGCACGGACCGACCGGGTACGCACCATTCAGGTAAGTTGATGACGAGCGCACCTCACTGGTGCGGCTACATCCCTTGGTGACCTGGTCGACTTCGTCGACGGGCCGTCCGCCGTCCGTCTTGGTTGGCCATGAATTAAAAACCTCACCGACGGTGGAAGTCAAGCGGTGGTGGCCTTCCTTATAGTAGCCACCATTGGTTCGTTCCTCACGAAGCTATCACATTTTTTGGGGGTATTTGTAGACTACACCCCAGTGAAAACCTCCGACCGTTCTTGGTTCTTGGACTCTTGATCAGCAGATGGTTTGTTTGTGCCTCAGAGCCATTTGGGGGAGCTGAAGATCCTGCTTTGGATTGAAGATGCTTTTGCTCGTGTGTTTGTGGCCAATTTTGCCAACCAAAGAACTGCAAATCCTTCGCTGGGAAGGGCTTGGAATTACACTGAGGGACATACCTTGCTGCAAGTGTTTAGCTAGAAGAAGGTTGCAGACCTAAGTTTCCAGTTGTTCAGTTGTTCTAGCATTTTTGATGGGGACATCTTTCATGAAGTGGCCATCATCACCAATCATCACCACTGTTTGGCACGGTTGGATTTGTTTCGTCTTCGTTTTCACATGTCTTCACCTTCGAGATCCGTGTTTTCGCTCTAGCGGAACATACCACTCACGCGAACGGAGAGCGCTCGGTCGCGCTGCTGCTTCTTCTTCTTTTTCTTATATTGGTAATTATATAATTATATATCATTATGTGTCTTCTTTCCCTTCTTGTCCTTCTTCTTGTTTCTCTTCTTCTTCTTCTTCTTCTATCTTCTTCTATCTTCTATCTTCTGCTTTTGCTTCTGCTGCTGTATCGGCAATGTCTTCAGTACCGACAGTGGTTCCCTTTGGGTCCTGTCCTTCCGCCGGACTGTGGCGGTCTTCCGCCATCGATGTTGGACGCTCTTCCAGTCGATCACGATCGCTGGACTGGAAGACATGGCAGGCCATTCTTTAGATCCCTCAGCTCTCTCCCCTAGGGATCCAGTCGTACCGAACCTCAGGTACGGTGGGACTGGGGTGGGTGCCAGGAGGGTCCTGCCTTCTGAGAAGGTACGACCGGATCCCTCAGCTCTCTCCTTTAGACATGACAGGCCGTCCCTCGTTTGGCCGAATGGACCGAATGGAGCCAGCCATTTCCGCCCAGAAAAGACCGACCACCACTTGTTCACCAATGGCGCTCAGGGCGTCTCGTGTCTTCCGTCCGGTGTCATAGCCTATTCGAAACACTTTCCGTTGCGTTTGCTTGTGCTGGAAGCTCCCAGAAATGCATGATTTTTCAATTATGGTCGATTTGTTTTTGATTATGTTTAATTGTTCTGTTTTGTTTTGTCCATATATATTTTTTGTGGCCCCCTAAATCCCTGGAAGCTCACCACGCACCCGCTTGCACCCAATTTTATGCGGCACATGTTCCCTAAGCCTTCGTTGGGCGTGCAATAAGAACCCATGCTTTACAGGGGCACTCCGTGATCTACAGCGATGCGTCTTCTTAACTAATTCCTTCAAAGCCCAACAAGTTCCTTTCATCTCAACTCTTATGCCCTTAGCCCCAAATAAAGATTCAAAGACTTGAACATTCAAGCGTGATGGACACACTCCCCCAACCCCAACTATGGGCCCTGAACCCAAAACCATGCCCTCGAGCCAACGCTCTTCCTTCTTCCGCAGCTGGGCCCCCTTCCGCTGCGCAGCTGGTCGCCTGTAGCTGGTAGCTTGGGCGTCGAACCTCGACTGAGGCTGGTCCAGTTCGTGGTGCCTCCCTGCTGGTTCGGCAAGCCGGAGCCCAGTGAGGGGCCATTAGGCCCTGATGGCAAGCCCCACGCTCGGCTCTGCAGGGCCGGCGGGAGTCCTGGCTCCCGGAGCTCTCAGTTGATCGGGTGAATCTTGGGGGAAGGCCTGGTGAATGCTGGTGATCTTCAAAGTATTCACGTCTGATTTTCTTCACTCAAATATGATATGTAAACCTCATACTACAGTGACAGAGTGGCACATGCTGGGTGGTGTGATTTCCTTCAACCTCTTTCCATCTTACCAGTACTGGGCGGCTGACATCACGAGGTGTTACCCTTGAGTGGCTCACGACCAACCATTTGGATTGGGATTCCTACTGGGCCCACACAAGCAACATCTTGGCGCAAGGGCTATCACCTGCCAAGCACTGACGTCATTCTTGGATGCAAACATCTCAAGACCAACATGACCAACGTAACATAGCACCTCCTCTACCACCAACGAAAAAGGCACAGTTGTCACAGAAAGGGATCCTTAACTTTTCTCCATGAGGATTACTGGGATCCGTACGTTTCCTTATGTTTCTCCATGGGATCCTTATGTGACTTTCGGCTTCCCCCCGTGTTATGGTACAGAGCTCCAACCACTCACCGCACCTAAACACTTCTCGGGTACCCAACGAAACCCTCCGCGCACCGCGAGGAGTGGTGCAAGTGGGTATCGCAAGCAGCCATGAACTACGTGGCAGACTGCCGGGGCGGTCCCTCGGCTGTCGGGACGTCGTTCCTTCAACCTCCGAGGGTCCCGGTGGAGCGGAGTGGGAGCGGAGTGGCTCGCCGGATCTGATGTGGATGTGATATCAACAGAGGTTGAAGAACCCTATAGATTATCCCATAGCTATCCCAGCAGGGTAAGGTCACAGGTTCACTTATAACCTCTCTACTTGGTATGGAGTGACATCGGGCAGTGACAGCGGGCAGGCCGGGACATCGGGCAGCCCCGTTCCATCCACGGAACTGCGGGCGGTGATTTTTGGTCAAACGACTATGACAAAATCACCGAAGAGAATGAAAGGTGAGACAAAGGCGAACTCCGGATGGAACAAAAGGCTGGTGTGCTGGATAAAGGATGAGACATAATGAAACATTCTGAGACATAATGAAACATTATAAGGTTCATATCAGTTTCATATGCTGTTGGAGAAGTTATTGTGTGTGTTTTTTTGGGTTGTTGTTGTTGTTGTTGTTGTTGGTGGTGGTGGTGGTGGTGGTGGTGGTGATGGTGATGGTGGTGGTATATTGTTGTTACATGTTGGTGGTTGGCTTAAAGTGTTCGCCTTTAAGTTTCATCTTACGTTGTTTGAAGTTTTCACCCTTTGATGTTCTCCACACATCAACGTGATGCTTCTTATAAAAGCATTTCCCTTGGTGTGCTCTCTCTCTCTCTCTCTCTCTCCAAATGGCCATTGATCCACCAAAAAGTCACTTAAGTCAGGCCTCACGTCTCCATGTTTTGGATGTTCTTCCCCGATTCTGCTTCTGCTTTAGCATCCTCCCTTTCCCAGACACGACCCATGGGGTGGTGCCAGGGGGTCTGTCTGGGGCGGCATATGTTCCAGTCCCATGGGTCGTGTCTGGGTTTGATTGGATAGAAACCTGTTGGTGTTTACGACCACCGCCATCCGCAAGGCATGTACGACCACCGCCATCCCGGCGACGACCTGGGTGCTGGTCCGCCGCCGACGACACATGCTGGTGCGCACAGCGGTGCGAAGCCAGACTGGTGCTCCCACGTGGCGAAGGAAGTTGGGGGAGGGTGGGGGACAGATACTGTTTTGATTCCATGTCCCACCCACCTGGTAGACAGAATCGAACTGGGTCAACAGAAGACAGGGTCTGGCGGTGGGCCCAACAGGATGAAGGGATTCATCATTGGAGGGTGAGGAAGGGTCAGTCGAGCATCGTAGCATCTACACTGATGTCAGTCATGGGCCAACGCGGACCGTGCCATCCGCTTCCATGACTATGTCATTTTATTTGCTGGGAGTGTATTTGCCTGATTTGTCGGCATGCCTTGAATTGGAGGGTGTACCACTGTAGACGACAGAAACATGTCCAACTCATGCATGTTCTTGATCTTAGCACTTCCGGCAGTTCCCATGTCGTTTTGCTTGCCCCCCGTGCGCCCCCGTTCCCTCGCCCACAACGCTGTACAAATGTGTTTTTCCAGGAGAGCTTAAGATACGTGCCCGACTGCAACAGCCAAGTGGAAAGCCTTTGGTGAGGCTGCAGAACTTGTGAAAACTTGGCCTCGAGGTTTGGAAAATTGATGAACATTGGCTGAATTGACCAACCCACAGGGGAGCTGGTTCAAACTTGGGCGGGGGCCTTTCATGCTGACCACATTCGAGGACTGAAATAGGCTCAACATGCTATTAGAGGGTGTTGGATCGTCAATGCATATTCAAGCTGTGAGGATTTGCACATTGCACACAGTTTGTAACTACAAATTGCCCATTATATATATATATTCCTATCATGGTCCATTTATTTGGACCTGCAGTGGGCCATCTCTTCATGTTGGAGATCTCAACACATCCACCGAGAAGAAAGCCGCAGTTGTTCATGCATAATTAGGCCACCGCTGCAAAGCCATGCCATGTAAGAATGCCAAACCCGAACACACGTGGCCAAGTGTTAGTTGTGCCTCGCATTGTCTCGCATATTTCCCGCGCGTAGCAGGCCAACGCCAAATGCGCGGGCGGGTGCGCGAGCGGCATACCGACATGTAGTGCGTCCAGTGTGGAGTTCAGCTTGAACCTCTCGTGCTCGAAAAAGAGGCCGACCCACACGAACGTCCATCCAGGCAAGCTGAGATCCAATTGATTTGTTACTGTAAGCTACTAAGCACTTAATCTTACCAAGTTCCCTTGATTCATGGAGAGGCCTTTGATGGGCTGGAAAGGGTTGCTAGAAGTTAAGAAATTTGCACCCGCAAGGGGAGGGAAAAAAAAACTGCACAGCCCATGCTTGGGTTGCTTCGCCTCCCTCCACGGCCGGCAGAGACGAAGCGCCGAGACCGGAGGACTCTCTGAGAGAAGCGCTCCGAGGTGTCATTCCCCTGGCACCACAATGCGGATGACGCGCCCTGCGCCGCCACTCGAATGCCATTACATACCCTCCGAACACATGGAAATGGACGTGCTGGCCACTGGGAAGACCATGTTCCGAAGACCAAACAGGTGGTAAACTCCAATTCCATGTTAGTGACCTTAGTGAGGCACAGGGTAGTTGATTCATGTTGATTCATTTTGTATAAAAGCCGGATTTACCATGGTTACTACTTTTCCAGGCCTGGACGTGTTTATCTATATCGATCGTCAACACGATGGGCTCCCAGGCCAGGCCTTTGTTTGGGCCACCCGGGCTGCCCCAGAGATGGCCACCCAACCCCTTATGTACCACATTGAAAAGTCTGACAAGGCTTTTCTGGCAGCCAATCGCCTATTCGACGGTCAAGTTTTCTTATCCTCGCTGGGGGACGGCTGAGCCTACAGCCGCTGATCTCCTCATCGAAGCGTGTCGATTGAAGGCGAGCTACATTCCATGTGCGGCACCCGTCGTCACAGAGGCCCCAGATGGTTATACTGTTCGCTCTACTGACAAGAAAGTTCGCTGGTGCAGTATCCTTCTCACCCTGACGCTACTGCTCGTTACCTGCTTCCTCACGACAATGATCGGCATCAAGCTTGTTCAACGTTACAACTACATTGTCGCGGAGCATCTTGCGAGGGGTGGTGATTCTGCTTGCTACGTTGGATGTTTGCACGCTGAGTCGCGATTTGATGGTTCATCATTTTCATGGTATCTGTCAATTACCCAGACACTCCATGTATGCCATATATGCCTACATTGACCCCCCAAACCACCGCAATGTAACCATATATAGCATACATGGAGTGTCTGGGTTTTGCAACGAATGTTTTGCTACATGTCCTGCGATCGCAGTGGCAGTGGTGGCATCACATTAGTGCAGCATTTTTGGCCCAAGAGACTGTGACCAGCAATGTCCCGCAAAGTGTTCAGTCATCAGTGGCTACCTTTGCTGGTGGGATAGCAGCAACAAAATCGTCGACGGACATCAAGTCATTTTGTGCTTGGCTTGTGCGTGTAGGATTGGCTATGTCCTCCTCCGTCGTTCAAAAGTTCGTTGACTGGATCGTGATGTTGTTTCGTGGACTCCACTATTGGTCAACATGGTTGGCAGCTGAGGCGACCGCCGCTGTGACCTCGTCATATGTGGTGGCCACCAAGATCGGCGCAGTGCAGTGATTTCCCGTGCTGGCACAGGGTTTACTGTTGATTGCGACGGCTTGGGCACTTGCCTAATGTATCCGCGCAATGTGTTGTTCCCAACAACGCGCAAGTACTGCCGTGCGCAGGTCAAACTTCTATCAGTGTTGCTCAGATTGAACCCGATAGGGTTGTTGCGGTCTGGGCACACTACCGGACTGATGGTCAGCTTATATAAGAGTATCCCAGTTGGTTATGGGTATGCAATCACTGGTGGCATGATCGTCCCAAAGCATTTGATCATTGGACCAAGGACGATGCGCGAGCATTTCATCGCCGGAGCTGAAATCATTTTGACTCCAGCGGTGCTTAAGGACAGGCCCGGAACCACGAAGTACCTACATGCCTCTCCAGAGTCCATTGATTGTTACTTCCCTCCAGCTCATGTTGGCAAGCCCGAGCACGTCTTGACGCGCGATGTTGCATTCTTGTCGATTCCCAATCTTGGCAGTGCGCTTGGTCTCCGCACCAAGACACTGCAGTTTTGTATTTGATGCTGAACAATCGTTTTCAACATACCACTACGTGTGGTCACCGACTGATGGAGCTCACATTCTCCACCGTTGCGTTGGATCGCTTGTGCCTGATCCAGTGCTCTACAGCAAGGATTCGCCGCCTCTGTTGGGCGTATCCTATCATTCTTTTGAGACGCTGCCAGGCCATTCTGGCGCTCCTATGTTGACAAACGATGGGAGGGCGCTTGTGGGATTCCGCGCCGGCCTATGGACCCATGACAGGAGTGATCAAGAACACCGGCCGGTCGCCATCAATGCTCGTCAGTTGTTCAATTTCACGATGGCGAGAAAACTCATCAAGGGAAAGAAAGGGCAGTGTCCCCCTGGCGGCATCATTGACATGACATCCCTTGTTGATTCCGAGGATCTTATCGTGGAGGAGAGATATCAGCCCTGCTCAAGTGATGATCCGTCTGACTATACCTGGCAGAGAGGCGAGGATTTCTATGAGACATCTGACATTGATGAACCAATTGATGATGATCATGTCGACGGTGATTGGATTGACGAGATGATTGAGCAGCAAGAGCAAGATGATTGGGATCACACCCAAGATTATCTTGAAACCATTACAGCCAGCAATCGAAGTCAATGAACTGCACTGGGGGGATGTGCTGAGTTTCCGATTTCCGTGGGGAAAGGAGTTCGCATGGAAGGGTTTTTCTGTGGTGGCGCTGGTGATCACCGCTGACGTCGCTTCGAAGGAACACCGCATGACTTGCCTCGACCGACTCGCCCACGGGCGAACACGGCGAACGAACTCGACCTCTGATCGAAGCTGGTCGGCGCTGGCCCCCCCACATTCGTCCAGTCATGTCACCCATGGTTACGCAGCCGGGAGAAGGGCCTCCTGCCCTTTCCCATAGGGTCCAGGTACCTCCGGCCCCAGCTCGATCTGGTTCGACCCTTCTTTGGCCACTGTTCCAAGCAGATTTGGAGTTTTCTTGTCACATCCACTCACTGGATGGGACTTAAAACCACTTCCATGATTGTTTCGGGGAGGGTTTGAAGAAACCAAAGCAGAATGTTCTAAGAACTGTGACAACTGCACTGCCGCAGTCAAGGGGTCAGTTCGTTTGTGGTTTCTGGCCGTCACACCTTCAGTGCGAGACAACCCTGCAAAGAGGGAAAATCATGAGCAGCTCAAACGTGTTGAATTTCGGTTTTCTCAGCAAGCGAAAAAGAAAGCAGAGCACAGCTTGACAGCTAAGCAAAGCCGAAAACGGAGCCCTATAGCCTTGAAAGATCGACCAAAAGAAAGATTCAACTGGCTTGTGATTGAAAATCCATAGATGGAGAGAATGAGCGAAAGAATGGGTGTCAGTGACCTCTAGTAATTAGTGAAGTAATGTGAAGTATGATTCGTTTCTGGTATTCACTTGGATTCCAAAAACCATCCCAATTCCATCCAGCATCCATCACACCTTTGTTTCGAATCCTGGATGAACCACGGCCCTTCGGGTCGCCCGCCGAGGCCGAGCACGAACTTTGCCGTTCACTGTCACGCGCGTCCGTGGGCGGCTGAGATGGGAGACGAAGTGATGCGAGCTTTCGGAGGGTCATCATCACCTGCGATCTTTGAAGTCTGCACAAGTGCCTCCATTTCGAAGACCTTTTGGTTTCGGTGCTGGTAGAGATTGTCGTATATGTTTCAGAAGTGAGGGACAAGACAGGACATTCCGGTCCTTTTTCACTTTGTTTGCACTTGACTTTGTTTGCTTGTTTCTTTCACGAGTGGAAACCGGCGACATCCTGAGTGGATCGTTCTCGGATCGGATCTTTTTGACCATACGGCCGGACAAGCGGATCACCTGCAAAATAACCTGGTGGAGTTCGTTCGGTGCACCTCGATTTTACACAGAAACCGGCGGTTTGGAGTCAGTCTACGGTAGAGCAGCTTGGAATCCCCGGTCCGACCCAGGAAAGCAGCCTCGCCAAAGGTGCAGTCTGCCAGGCGCGGCCGCGCCACCAAAAACGAGTCACGTAATTAGCTATCCCACAACTCGGCCGTTGGACCATTCGACAAGGGAGAGTCTTGAGAGTCTTTTGGCATCGACATGTTCACGGCTAAGCAGGTCTCGTTTGGTCTCGTTGCTTTCGTCGCCAAGTTATACGTTCGCGGGAATCGCGCGTGAACGAACGGATGAACCATTGACAAATGGAGGACTCCAACTTGCAGGTTTTGGAGATGGACCATATCCATACCTTGGGAGTCAAAGACTAAAACAAGAATTCCCTTTACTTCACTAAGGCAAAATGATAGTCTTTGGATGTGTTTTTGACTTCTAGGGAGGGAGCAAACCAGGGATCAACCAGAGGCAATGTTTGTGTGGTTCAAGTGGGAGCGTCATGTGTGGACAAATCTGGGACTTCAGACGATGCAGATCCACCCGATTTCAATGGTGATGTCTCAGCATATCTCAGCATGCTTCTTTACGAAGGCGACCAGCCAGGTTGAAGGCTGTCAGAAGGTTTTGGAAAAAAAAGGCATGCTTCTTTTGGCATGCTTCTTCTGTGCCAGAGTGAGTGCTTGCAACATCGGCACGCCCAAGTGGTTGCCACATCAGCCGCGATGTTTCCAAGTCGCAGCCGGTCCTTCCAAGTCCCATGACTGTGGTAGCAAGTCCCATGGACCGACGCACCAAAACGGGAGCTGGCAGGAATAAGCCCAGCTTCACGAGTTGCCGGGGGCCCAGCTTCAAGAACACGCTGAAACCGGAGACCGACCGGTTGGAATGTGGTTCAGCCCCCTTTGAAGGTGTTTTTGCCGACAGGTGCCAGTGGTGTTATAACGCAACTTGTTGCGAGCATTTTGGATATGCGTGGATGGCTGACGCGTGGAGGCGTGAATGTTGAGGAATGATGGCTGAACATTGGATCAGCCAAGGCCAGAGGAAAAGAGCATGATCATGTTTTCAAAAACAAATAAAGCATATCAAAAAATAATGGTTTCATTGTTTAGCATTATGTTCTTGCACAGTACTTTGTTTTTTTATGCATTATTTGTGTTGTTTATTATCATTCATTTTTATCAGGCCCCCGGCCAGAAAAAAAGAAGACACGAGCAACTACCTTGTGGTGACCCCGCTCATCTAGGCAATTGATCTTTTTGTTTGGAATTTGGATAGTCAATTCAGGTCTGAACAGGCAAACGTGCCTCCACTTGGACCTTTCAACGGAGACCAAGGGGTCGACACCCACCGCAAGGCGGTCGCCGGTGTTCAGTTCTTGAAGTGAAGTTCAAACCTGCAGTTGAGCTGAAAGAAGTATTCCAATATATCGGAATCGCTCATGAAGAAGAAGTCGCATGTTGTCCCTCATTGGTCCGGACAAGAAGAAGGAAGAGTTGCATGTCAAGGTGTCTCTTTTGACATGGCTTTGAGACACCCTTTCAGCTCTGACATCTGCTCCTTGCTGTCAAAAGGTGTCTCAAAGCTCAAACCAAGAGAGGTGGACAGTGACCTGAACTAGGACCTGAACCTGGGCTATCTATAGGATAGCCCAGTAAGGTCCTTCAACCTCTGGAAGGTCTCCTGCGAATGCCCCCCGGTCGAACGGCTTCACCGGTCCGGTGGGGCTCCGCCGAGGCATGTCCCGGCCACCAGAGGCGCGACCGAGCGGGAGCGGCGTTGGTCGTCACCTTGGGGGAGGGGGAGAGTCTAGACGGTTCCCAAACTGCGAGCTGCCAGTGCCCGGAACAACCACATCCACGAAAGCAAGCACATGCCTGTGGATCAGTTGGTTTCAGACACGTGTGCTGCATCGCGGCGCCAACACAGGACGTCCTAGTCCTTTTGGTGTTGGTCGAAAAAAAGCGCGCTCTACAGGGGGGGCGTGGTGGTACCTACAGAGGTGGACAGTGACCTGAACTAGGACCCTACAGGTTCTTCAACCTCTGCTGGTATATTGGGCAATGGGCAAAAGATTTGTTGTTCGCCACACCCGCTGGGAATAGGACATGATAGGCTGCCGGCTCCAACGTGTGATGAGACGCCGTGCCTTAGTGGCTAAGTGGCATTCATTCAACAAGGAAGGGCTGAGGGGCTGAGGGCCCACGACCCTTCCGGTTTCTTCTTTTCCATTTGGGGTCAACGCTGGGGGTATGAAGGGGCAGCATACTTTGTGCAAATGAATCAACACAAAGCCACAAAGCCCAGTGTAGCTTTCCTCACCGCACTCAGGTCCAATCATGCTGCTGAGGTTCATTGACATTGCGTTAGCTTCATTTACCCAATCGATTTCAGCCAGTCAAAGGTGCCACTCCATATGAGCACGTCTATGGCAAGAGTTACAAAGGTTTTTAAGCCGAGTATGGTATAAGTTAAGTTGATTTTTGGTCTCCACCACAATCACCCCTTTTTTTCCCGAAGGAAACCCCAAACTTTGCCAACTTCCGTGTAGGTCGAAACGCCAGGCCGAGGCAGCTGATTGGCTACCCTCCTCGTGCAGCAGCCGCGGAACTGTGGGCCGCGGTGCCGGCACCGGCGCCGCGCCGCCCCTGGCACCACGGGGGTCGATGCCGCCGGCATCGCCACCAGCGTTGATTCCGAGACTGAGCACAAACTGAGGGATTGAGTCACCTATAAAGAAGCATAAATGAACTCGTGTGGTTCATTAGGGGCTTACATGGGCTTACCTGATTTCAACCATAGGGATGTTAATAAATATTGTTTATATATTAAAAACAACAACCTAGACACTCCATGTATGCCATATATGTCTATATACATTGGGGTGGTGCCAGGGGGGTCAATGGGGCGGCATTTATGGCAGTCCCATGGTCGTGTTTGGGTAATATATGAGTTTGAGTGAAGCACGAATCATTTGGGCTTTTCATGCGACCAGTCTCTCGGTATTAGACCTTCCCGACTGGGCTGCTCCGTGCGGAACTCCCTTGAACGTGTCGGCCAAGGAGGGTGCAAAAGGCAGACAGCCGCAGTCCCAGCCCTCCGTGCCTTGTGGGCACTTGGATGGGCGGGTTCCACCTCAAGACATAACGATGAACAAGCACCTTATCAAAAGTTCTCAGCAACAGTGAGTACAACCCGTCAGCATCATCATCGAAGATTCGAGTAGTGATCCACATCGTGACATATTGATTGCGCCAACGACCGTCGGTCCAGTGCTGGTGTCGGTCCGACCGTCGGCATGCGAAAGAAACACCCCATAAGGAAAACCGCTACAACGGGGGCCAAGGGCTAAGACAGTCCGACCATGACCTTCCTTTATGCTATACAAAAGGGCCGAACATGGCTACATGGATGGAAGTCGGCCTCTGGACGGAAGACCATGAGTCTTCGGATTCGGCCGTTTATTGGAGAGTGTTATCCATGTCCATGACTTCAGTCGGTGTGTTTTCCTGTGTATTTGCCGGCATGCCTTGAATTGGAGAGTGTACCATGTGAGAAGACAAACACATTTTCATGTGCTTGATCGTTAAAGGGCTCCAGTCGTACCTTCTGAGGTTCGGTGGGGTTGGGGTGAGTGCCAGGAGGGTCCAAAAATACCTTCTTACTTGGAGGTGCGTTTGGAGCCCTAGGGTCTAAAAAGATCTATAAATCTCCAAAACCACATTCTAGACTCTGAAAAGGCAACTCTCTTCAGGACCAACGTTTTCGGCAAATTCCTGACCAAAATTCATAGTGGGCCCACCCCATAGGCAAAGAGGCAGCCCCCACCCAACAGGTTGCTGTTACTTTGGGCATAGTACGCATACTATGCGGACTATCCAAGGCTAGGGGTCTCCAAATAAACTATACCACCCTTGCACATGTTCATGAGATGACCCAGTTTTGACCCCCCTTCCACTTCAAACCTCAATCCTTCATATGCCCAGAAGGATCCACTGCCTTCTCAGAAGGCATCCTTGGACCGTCCTGGCGCCTACATCAATAGTCTCGGTCCTGTACCTCAGCTTCGGTATGTGGA